ACAAAGTCCGCCAAAATTTGAGATTTGATGGTTTTTCGGGGTCGATATTCGATATCGTACCAACTGATTTCCACAGCCCATTTGGCCAATCATCCCGAGAGTTCGGGTTTATGCATTTTGTTCCTCAATGGGTAAGTAGTCACGACACATATGCAATGGCATTCAAAATATGGTTTTAACTTCCTAACGGCGCTTAGCAAAGCAATTGCCAATTTTCCAGGTAAGGATACCTAGTTTCGGCCTCACCTAGAGTCCTGCTAATATAGTAGATAGGAAATCGCGTACCTTCCTCTTCTCGTACTAGGACTCCACTTACTGCTATCTCGGATACCGCCAGGTACAGGTATAACTGTTCATCTGCCTTCGGAGTATGGAGCAAAGGCGGGCTCGAAAGGTATCGCTTGAGTTCTTCCAAGGCTTGTTGACACTCCAGAGACCACGAGAAATTATTCTTCTATTTCAATAACGAGAAGAACCGATGGCTCTTGTCGGAGGACCTTGAGATGAATCAATCTAACGCGGCTATGCGCCCGGTTAACCTTTGAACGGCCTTGACATTGTCCACCACGTGTAATGTCGTCTATGGCCTTGATTTTATCAGGGTTGATCTCGATTCCCCGGTTAGACACCATGAACCCGAGAAATTTCCCGGACCCAACTCCGAATACGTATTTCTCCAGGTTCAGCTTCATATTGTATTTTTTCAGTATGTCGAAGCTTTCCTGGAAATGTTTCAAATGGTCCTCTGCTCGCAGGGACTTAACTAACATATCGTCAATGTAAACCTCCATTGATTTTCCTATTTGTTCTTCGAACATCCGACTTACTAGGCATTGGTAAGTGGCACCAGCGTCTTTTAGTCCGAATGGAATTACATTATAGCAGTAAGTGTCGTACTTAGTGATGAAGGACGTTTTTTCCTGGTCGCCCGGGTCAATACAAATTTAGTTGTACCCAGAGTAGGCATCGAGAAAGCTGAGGATCGGCCGTTGCATCGATCATGCGATCAATGTTTGGCAGAGGGAAAGAGTCTTTGGGGCATGCCTTATTCAAGTCTTTGTAATCTATACACATTCTTAATTTATTCCTCTTTTTAGGGACTACCACTACGTTTGCTAACCAATCTGGATACTTAACCTCCAGATGGACCCTATTTTAAGGAGTTTAGATACCTCATCTTTGATGAATGCGTGCTTGACTTCGGACTAGGGCCTCCTTTTCTGTTTGACCGGGCGAAATGTTTGGTCCAGGCTCAGCTTATGAGTAGTTATCTCCGGTGGAATCCCTGTCATGTCGAAGTAGGACCAAGCAAAACAATCTATGTTAGCTATAAAGAACTTAATGAGTTTTTTCCTAAGCTCGGGACATAACCCCATGCCCAAGTATACCTTACGATCAGGTAGATGCTAGATCAATATGACTTTCTCCAGTTCTTTGATCGTTGATTTGGTGGCGTCGGAATCATCAGGGGCTATGAAAGACCTGGGAACTCCGTAGTCGTCGTCCTCATTCGTCCCCAACTTCTCTGGTTGGGGCGGGACTGGTGTTGGTAATTGCTATTTGGTTCTCCCTTGGTGACTGAACCCAGATCCTTTGGTGTTGAAAGAGCGGATATCGGGACCACCTGGTCGACCGCGACCATCTCCTTTGCGGTCGGTTGTTCTCAGTAAATTATTTTAATCCCTCCTGGCGTTGGGAATTTTAACACCTGGTGCAACGTTGAGGGCACTGCGCTCATTTTGTGAATCCATGGCCTCCCGAACAGAGCATTGTACCTCATATCTCCTTCGATCTCGTAGAACTTTGTTTCCTGAATGGTTCCGACGGTGTTCACCGGTAATGTTATCTCTCTTTTAGTGGTCTCGCATTCCATGTTGAATCCGTTTAGAACTTGGACTGCAGACACGATTTGATCTTGTAGACCTAGTTGCTCCACGACCCTCGATCTGATGATATTGGCCGAGCTACCTGGATCAATTAACACACGCTTAACTCGATATTTATTTATGACTACAGATATTACCAGTGCATCGTTGTGGGGCTGGACGATGCCTTCAGCATCCTCGTCGTTGAAAGATAAGGTTCCTTCTAGCACGTAATCTTGAGTCCGTTTTCCCTTGTGATGGATACTTTGGTGCATTTTAACATCGGTCCCTGGGGGACGTCGAACCCACCGATGATCATGTTGATGGCGTGCTGAGGTTCCTGCTGCTCGATCTGCTTACTAGATTCCATGTTCCTGAAATGGTTTTTTGCTCGATTGGTTTGAAATTCTCGTAGATGTCCGTTGTTGAATAACCGGGTTGCTTCCTCTCTCAATTGTCGCCAGTCTTCCGTCCTGTGACCGTGAGTGCCATGATATTTACACATTAGGTTGGGGTCCCTTTGGGCTATATCAAACTATAGAGGTCAAGGCCACTTGGTGTCTTTGATTCTGATGGCAGATATGATGGCAGCAACATCGACGTTGAAGTTGTACTCTGATAACCTCGCGCTTCATTGGTCCCGACGGGCCTGTCGAAACCGCTTTTACTCATGAGTCCCCAGTTATTTTGACCTCGATCATTTCTTCTTTCGTTTCTCATGGGGTTCCTCCCGGACGCATTACCTCTCTGGTCTCCATTGTATGGTTGATACCGATCCCTATTCGATCTTGGTTCACGATCAATGTCTCTCTTGGATATGTCAATAGTTCTGACGGGATAAACGGACCCCGAAGGGGCCCCAAGCTGATCATCTTCGACCCTAATTTTTGATTGATACCGGTTATGTACGTCAGTCGAAGTTACAGCCAGATATTCTATTCATCCGCAACCGGAGGAAAGTCCATTCGTTCCATTTGAAATCTGGACACGAATTCCGTGAGCATCTCATTATCTCTCTGATTCACTTTGAAAAGAATTGACTTTCTGGTTTTGACCTTGATGGCCTTGGCGTGTGCTTTCACAAAGGAGTCTACAAGCATAGCAAACGAGTCAATAGAATTAAGGGGGTAAGTTGTGATACCATATCATAGCTCCCTTTGACAAAGTTTTCCCAAACTTTTTCAACAGGACAGACTCGATCTCATCATCCTCCAAGTCATTCCCTTTGATGGAGCACGTGTAGGAGGTCACATGCTCATTCGGGTCAGTTGTTCCGTTGTACTTAGGAATTTCAGGCATACGGAACTTCTTAGGAATTGGCTTCAGATCTGCACTCGGAGGGAAAGGTTTCTGAACAGACTTCTTGGAATCCAAGCCCTTCAATAGCGGTGGCGCTCCTGGGATCTGGTCGACCCTGGAATTGTAAGTTTCTACCTTTTTGTCATTGGCTTCGATTTTCTTTTCTCTCGATTCTACCCGTTTTGTCAGTTCCTCGAGCATTTTTATGATTTCGGGGTTAGTCCCGAGTTCAGGTTCACTCGGCCTTTTCGTGATCGGTGGCTCGATTCTGCTGGGAGCACGGCTGTAGTTCTGCAGCTGGGCTATCGTTGCATGTTGGGCCTGTAGCATTTCGAACTTAACTCGCAAGTTGATCCCATCTCCTTCACCGTCTTGTGTATTTTGGGCTGCCAATTGGACTCCCCTGTGGACGTTCTCAGGATCGGTAGGCAGATTCGCATTGATGGCCACATGTGAGTTAGCGTCGATCGGGTCCGCGACCGGAACTCCGATGGGATCGATAGGTGGCACCTCATTACTGGGTACCAGACTGTTTTTCTAGCCGTGGTGACCGGACTCAACATCCACATTTAGAGGTACAGATTGGGAGTTCGACATTTTGAAATTTGACATGAAATTGAAGACACTTCAAAGAATAAGTGTAAAATAGGATGTGTTATGAAAATTTGTATCAAATTTCTGCTATTATCCTTAGCCCCACGGTGGGTGCCAAACTGTTTACCCTCGAAATCGGATAACAATTAAGTTTGTAAGTGGTTTAAGGATACGCGGATTAATTTGATACAAAATGATAAACTGAGTTAGATTGAACAAATAATGATATAGTAAATTCAAACCACTTGAGGAGGATGATTTCAACCTTAGTGGAATATTCACTCTCGATCCGGGCTCACAATGGCCAGTATTGATGAACCAGAAAAAGAGCTATGAATAACAGTGAAAATAATAATGTATTGCCTTGGGATGCGTGTTACAACCTGTTTAATGAATAGTCAGACTCCTCTTTATATAGTAGAGGAGTTTTACCCTAAGTACAATTTTATAAAAGGCAAAAAATTTCTCGTTTAGCTGATTACTGGATTTCCGTCGGTACATGCCGAGATCTGCGCCGTGATATCTGGTTGGTTGCGGATATTACGACCTTCCGTTAATCGTGTTCGAATGCTCAATAATGCTCTCCGAAGTCTCTTGGGATTTGGATCGATCCCGGGATCATGGCCTCGATATACTAGAGAGCGGGCGCCGTGCCTCCGAAGCCTGACTCGATGAGTTCCTTATCTCGAATCTGGTTCCTTGCCGTCGCGTCCCTTACTCGATTTATTTTATCGGGAACTGGGCCGGCTTATGGGTCTGGTTTCACCCGTATACAATATTTGTTAGAATTGATCTAATATTATCTGTTGGCACACATGCTCTAAAGAGGCTAAATAGTGCACATGATTGAATGCTTAGTTTTTTACCTAGAAGAGTAGAGATCAATTCCCATTTAATACTTTCTTTTTTGTCCTTTCTTTAGTGGTGCACCCATGTTATAAAAATTTTAGATCCGCATATGGCAGTAACAATAGCAAGATAAGATGATAAGATAATCGAATCAAAAGAAACAGCAGGTAGTAGCAGATATCTAAAAATAAAAAAATACGACAGTAATACTAAATACTAATACTACTAGTATGGAAAAAAGATACATCTTACTTACTAACTTTTTATCCTAATTCTCGACATCCACACCATGTATGGAACAAAATGTTATAGCGTAGAAATTGCCTCTACACCAGGTGCTTAAACTTCATGCACAATCACAAACGATCAGATAATTAATTGGAGCGGTGAGGGTAAAAAATATCAATGCTGAAATTGTATATAGCACGAGAAAATATGTTACAGCGACTGGAAAGTAGTATGTATCAAAATTACAAGCTCCAACACCTCAAAACCAACTCGAGATAACTATAAACATAGACACAAACTTGCACAAGCTATTAGCAAAATTAAAGTAGCTTGTCATCAGAAACTACGTCAATTTAAAAGAAAAAAAAAAAGAACGAAAGTAGCTGTCTAAATCCAAACGATCAAGCGTTGATTCCGGTTTGGGCCGGTTTAGTGTTAGATCCAGCAGCCATGTTGGCAACGTGGAATTGTGACACGTATTTGTAAGCTGCACCTTCAGGTGCCCTCGTTGGTGGCTCATTCAAATGTGCCCAGTTGCTACTTATCCACCTGCAATTTTAAAGGTTTTTAAGTTATAAAGTGAAAATTTATGCCCTATCAATTGAGTTTAATATGATCATAATTATTTATTATTTTTATTAAATTATTAATTAACATTTAATGTACAGATATACATATAATTAGATGTCATAATCATATAATTTAGCCCGTCAATGAATAGAATCTTAACACATCTAGTACATAATTATATGTCATAATCATATAGTAAGTGTTTCTTATTTTTTGGTAGATGGACTTTCAACTTGTGATGCTATTATTTAGAATTACTATCTCCTTTCAATTTAAGTTATAATACCTTACACAATGTAATTTTATTTTGTTTTTACACTAAGTTATCTTTTGACCTGATATAGAAGATTATTTTTCATTTTCTAAGGTTTTCAATTAGTATTTGTATACATCTATACATGTATTCTATATTCTAAGTGATTTGATGATGTAAATCTTTCTATTTTGTCAGTTTATATAGGATCACTGATAAAGATCGAGGAAAAGTTCATTACCATCCATTTTTCTTGATTAGTTTATCCAAACTATCCTCACTTCCCAGATCAAAAAACTCCCCTGTATTTGATCTTTCGTGCTCCGTTTTAGCTGCCTCCTCAAATACAATATTTGCCTATCGCCAATTAAAACAGCCAAAAGTAATTATCATCTCTAAAAAAATAATAGTGCTATGATTTGGTAATTAAAGTGAATAACATATTAATTACTACTATATACCTGTTTTTGGCTTTGAGGAGATAGCATAGAAATATATCTCTGATGCTCTTCTTCTATCTGTTTCTTGGATCTCCAATATGCTTCGATCTCTTCCTTTGTTAATGACTTACTTTTTCGATATTTCACTAGAAAAATCCAACAAAGAAAATAATTAATAACAACACCTCAATCTCAAACAAATTGAAATTAGCTATATGAATTTTAAGCGTCTTTCTTTAAGCTCGCCTATATCATCATCATTATTATAAATATATAACATATAACAATTAATATAGAAAATGAAAAGAAAAAGGGGTAATTTGTCAGTTAAAGAAATAAAGGGACTTACTAGCTTGGGGATCAGAAACAGGAGAATCCCAACCTGCCATAAGAGAACCCATATCTGTTTGCTTGCTAATATCTGAACTAAATCAATAGACACTTCACTCAAGTTGTATGTGAAACCTACTGAAAAACTCAAGTCTATTTATAGAGTTAGAAGAACACTGTCATAGGTTTATGGTGGGGCCTGCTAGTCTTAAGTTGCTAATCTTATCTCTAACAAAACAAAAACATTATTTAATTATTGGTTTAGAATTAGATTAGATTATGTGTTAAACCAGGGACTTCGGCATATGGTTTCTTTATAGTAGTAAATTAAGTGTTAATAGTGCCTGGAATAACTTTAGCCGCCCATAGATATGCATGCAAGGTGACAATAGCTTATTGATGATAACAAAATATAAAGAAATGAAAATATCTTCTATCCATTATGGTGTGTCCACTATGTTGTCACGTCAGATAATATAATGCAACATCAATTCTTATCCTTTTGGGCTCGTCCAATAGCGGCGAAGTCAAGGAATTTTTTAGAGTATTCAAATTTAAAAGTATAAACTTTTTGGATAAAAAATATTCGAGTAAATACCTCTAAAATCTAATATTTTACTTTTTTATATAATTATAATTTTTTGACGAAAGATGATTAGTTGACCACCTTTAGAACAATATAGCGCTTTGCCCATACTGTTTGATTCTTAAGGGATATTTTGATGACACTCATGATCGAGAGCCGGCTAACGAGCGAGGATCAAAATAAATATTGACACATTTTAAAGAGGCGAATCACATATCAAAATGTAATAGAAATATAAAGAGTTTTATAAGACATATTGCAAGTTTACATATAACGCGCACTTTTGTCTCGATGATGATGTTGTAATAATTTATGGACTTGCACGTATATTTTATATTAAGAATAATTGTATGTTGGTTGCTATCGTTAAAAGTTATCCAAATTAAAAGTGATCTGTTAAGTTTTAAAGTTTAATGGGTCTATAAGACACTTTCTAATGTATGAGCTCTAATGTGTAGATACTCGGATGTAATTTTTAATTTAATAATTTAATAATGGGCTAAATTAGACTTACGTATTCTGTGTGCATCTATAAATAGGGTTATTACTCCCAAATCAGACGTAGGGTTCTTTTTTAATATCCCATCATTGGAAAAGTGTGAGCCGTCATCTGCAATTCCTACGTCTTGGTTTGGAAGACCACTAGCCACAAAAACGACAAGTTTTGCTTGTTCATATGAATTCAGATACGCTTTTTTGATGATTTAACATGATATGTCGTGGATAAAAGATGAATTTCATCTTTAAAGTAATTTGGTTCTAAACAAATCTTGAGGTCAATTAGATGGAAGCGTATAATAAACTATGGTTTTGGAAAAACTAATACAATACAAAAATGCATCTTCAACGCGAACTAAACCCATTTCTTTTCCAAAATTAAACTAAAACCAAATTCAAACACTACGTGAATATCTTCATGAATAAAGTCAAAGGGCCAAACTTATCCAAATTTAATTTCTCTGGAATTGGAAAGGCAAATTTGTTATTATTCTATATTGCTGTAATAAACAATTAAACTTTCTGAAAAAACAAAACAGAAAGTTAGTAATACTTGTTTAACGAAATAGATTCTGGAAAATAAAAAAAAGTATAGGAATAAATCGAGCCCACTGAATACACAGTGTGTTCTTAAGGAAATTATTCCCCTCAAGTACCCGGGGTGCTGGAATATATTCTCCCAGGATAGAACGATTTAACTCACCAGTGTATTGGTACCAAAAACTCTGATGAACTGCAAACCACTCAATGGTCGTAAAACACACTGAAAAATATTGTGTAGAAGAAGTAAAAGAAGAAGCTCAGAAAATTTCGTAAGGAAAGATTCTGGGATTCAAACTCTATATATAGACTTGCTGGCATTGTTTCTGAAATATTGCGGGAATATATAGATTTAAAATAATTCGGAAAAGAAAACGGGCCTGACCGAATCGGGTCGCGGGTCATCGGTTATTCTGGATTGAATTTTTCGTTAATTAATTAATTAAATAATTGAAAGAAATTTTGTCCAAAAAGATTAATCAATCAATTGATCTTTGACCAAATCTGAATCCGAATCCGAATCCGAATCCGCTACCGAAGCAGAAGCCGAGGCCGAGCCGAGCGAGCGACGACAACGACGGCATAAGGCTTGCCTTTTTCTTAACTCTTTAAGAGCTAGAAGAAGAGCAATTATATATATACCCATCANAGGCCAAAATGGAATATCTTCCAATAAATTCCGGAGCCATTCAGCTTCTTTACCGGCCTTATCTAAAGTTATGAATTCAGATTCCATTGTAGAACGGGCGATGCATGTTTGTTTGGATGATTTCCAAGACACTGCTCCACCCCCAATTNAATCCCCCACATGAATGGAGAATGGATATAAAATAAAGGAATGCACGGACGCGTGTGTGTTTTACATGCAAGAATTAATTTCATCTGGATAAGTAGGTTTTCCTTTGAACTTTCCGTAGTGAACTTATATCGGATATAGTCGGTCAATCGGTAGATTTGATATCTTTGAACCGTCGAGCTTTGTTGTATACCTAGACAACATAAGTCACACAATCAATCCTTAACCATCTATGGTTCTCACGGTTGTGTTCGTTTCAGCCATGAACACCGCCTGGTTTCATGAGTGCTTAGAGAATGGGCCTTTACTTTCATTCCCCTTGAAGCGGCTTACACTTCACACTCACATAGGTGATTTCTAAACGTGTAATCCTATAGACACACTATCTGGTCATATCCTGCCAGACTTAGCAAATCATTAAAAAACCTTTAAGCTTTGTTGACTCATCAAAAAGCCTTAATGCTTTACCTCGATTTCTGAACATTGTCTTCATCACGAGAATGGGTTGAGTTATTTGACAATGTTGAACTATCATTCATAACTTTGTTTGATCTCTTTGAACCTAGCTCGTGGGATCTCCAGTCTGCTAGGTAGAGTTACCGCCATGATGACTTGTCCTAGACCTTAACCCCATTCCCTTTGATGATCTTTCAACTGCCTCTCTAGATAGGCCTTTTGTAAGTGGATCCGACACGTTATCTCTTGACTTTACATAGTCAATTGTGATAACACCACTAGAGAGTAGTTGTCTAACGGTATTGTGTCTCCGTCGTATATGACGAGATTTTCCGTTATACATAACGCTCCCTGCCCTGCCTATTGCCGCTTGACTATCACAATGTATACAAATAGGTGCCAAAGGTTTGGGCCAAAATGGAATATCTTCCAAGAAATTCCGGAGCCATTCAGCTTCTTCACCGGCCTTATCTAAAGCTATGAATTCAGATTCCATTGTAGAACGGGCGATGCACGTTTGTTTGGATGATTTCCAAGACACTGCTCCACCCCCAATTGTGAAAACATATCCACTCGTGGATTTAACTTCAGATGATCCAGTGATCCAATTTGCATCACTATATCCCTCGATCACGGAGGGATATTTGTTATAATGCAAAGCGTAATTTTGGGTATGTTTGAGATACCCCAAAACTCGTTTCATTGCCATCCAATGTATGTGATTGGGATTACTTGTAAACCGACTCAGTTTACTAATAGCACATGCTATATCTGGTCGCGTACAATTCATGATATACATCAAACTTCCCAATACTCTTGCATAATCCAGTTGTGAGTCACTTTCACCTTCATTCTTTTGAAGTGCATAACTCACGTCAATTGGAGTCTTGGCAATTTTGAAATCCAAATACTTGAACTTGTCAAGTACCTTTTCAATGTAGTGAGACTGTGATAATGCTAGACCTTGTGGAGTCTTGTGAATTCTGATTCCTAAGATCACATCAGCAACTCCTAAGTCTTTCATATCGAATTTGCTAGCCAACATGCGCTTAGTAGCATTTATATCTGCCATGTTTTTGCTCATTATCAACATGTCATCAACATATAAACAAACAATGACTTCATGACCTGGAGTGTTTTTAATGTAAACACATTTGTCGCACTCGTTGATTTTAAACCCACTTGCCAACATTGTTTGGTCAAATTTGGCATGCCATTGTTTGGGTGCTTGTTTAAGTCCATAAAGTGACTTAACAAGTTTGCACACTTTCTTTTCTTTACCAGTTACCACAAAACCCTCAGGTTGTTCCATGTAAATCTCTTCCTCTAATTCTCCATTTAAGAAAGCTGTTTTAACATCCATTTGATGGATTTCAAGACCATACACGGCCGCTAGTGCCACTAACACCCTAATAGATGTTATCCTCGTTACTGGCGAGTAAGTGTCAAAGTAATCAAGGCCTTCCTTTTATCTATAACCTTTGACAACAAGTCTTGCCTTATATTTGTCAATAGTGCCATCAGCTTTCACTTTCCGTTTAAAGATCCATTTCGAACCTAAAGGCTTATTTCCTGGAGGAAGATCTACCAATTCCCATGTATGGTTATCCAAAATTGATTGAATCTCACTATTGACTGCCTCTTTCCAAAACGCTGAATCAGAAGATGACATAGCTGCTTTAAAAGTTTGAGGCTCATTTTCAAGCAAGAATGTCACAAAATCTGGTCCAAAGGAAGTAGATGTTCTTTGACGTTTGCTACGCCTTGGATCTTCTATACTTGGAGTATTTTCCTTTGGTTCTTCCCGAGGTCGTTTAGGTCTTTCACTTAACGACTCACATTCAGTTTTATACGGATAGATGCTTTCAAAGAATTCAGCATTATCTGATTCCATTACCGTATTAACGTGAATTTCGGGATTATCGGATTTATGAACCAAAAACCGACATGCTTTACTGTTTGTAGCATATCCAATGAAAACGCAATCAACAGTTTTTGGTCCGATTTTAACCCTTTTAGGTAAAGGAACTTGTACCTTTGCTAGACACCCCCACACTTTGAAATATTTCAAGTTGGGTTTTCTTCCTTTCCATTTTTCATATGGAATAGATTGCGTTTTGCTGTGGGGTACTCTGTTGAGTATTCGGTTAGCTGTAAGGATAGCTTCGCCCCACAAACTCTGCGGTAATCCGGAACTTATTAATAAAGAATTCATCATTTCCTTTAATGTCCGATTTTTCCTTTCCGCAATTCCATTGGATTGAGGTGTGTAA